GACGGTAGTTGACAGTAGTTGACAGTAGATGACAGTAGATGACAGTAGATGACACTAGATGACGGTAGATGACGGTAGATGACGGTAGATGACACTAGATGACAGTAGATGACACTAGATGACGGTGGATTACACTAGATGACACTAGATGACGGTAGATGACGGTAGATGACAGTAGATGACACTAGATGACGGTAGATGACGGTAGATGACACTAGATGACAGTAGATGACGGTAGATGACAGTAGATGACACTGGATGACAGTAGATGACAGTAGATGACAGTAGATGACACTGGATGACACTAGATGACAGTAGATGACACTGGATGACACTAGATGACACTAGATGACGGTAGATGACACTAGATGACGGTAGATGACGATAGATGACACTAGATGACAGTAGATGACAGTAGATGACAGTAGATGACAGTAGATGACAGTAGATGACAGTAGATGACTGTAAATCACACTAGATGACGGTAGATGACACTAGATGACGGTAGACGACGGTAGACGACGGTAGTTGACAGTAGTTGACAGTAGATGACAGTAGATGACAGTAGATGACACTAGATGACGGTAGATGACGGTAGATGACACTAGATGACAGTAGATGACACTAGATGACGGTGGATTACACTAGATGACACTAGATGACGGTAGATGACGGTAGATGACAGTAGATGACACTAGATGACGGTAGATGACGGTAGATGACAGTAGATGACAGTAGATGACGGTAGATGACAGTAGATGACGGTAGATGACACTAGATGACGGTAGATGACACTAGATGACACTAGATGACGATAGATGACAGTAGATGACGGTAGATGACACTAGATAACAGTGGATAACGGTAGATGACACTAGATAACAGTGGATAACGGTAGATGACACTAGATAACAGTGGATAACGGTAGATGACACTAGATAACAGTGGATAACGGTGTACATGTGAATATAGAGCGAGTGTGTCTCATATTCGCGTATATAGGACATGGATTTATTACCAATTTTGTGGACACTCTTAGGTTGGCGGCCATCTTGGATTTTCTAATTCATTATTATTAAGCAATTATTGGATGAGGCTGAGCATGATATCAAGAATTATTCAGACCGAGGTCAATGTTATCTGCCGAAGCGAAGCTGAGGCGGATAACATAGACCGAGGTCTGAATAATTCTTGATATCATGCGAAAGCAGAATCCAATAATTGTTTTATTATACATTTAAAGACATGAGAAACGTATAAAACGCTTCCTGTTCATGAGGTAGGAAAAGTACAATTTGAATATCAAACACCTTGCACAAAGTCAAAGGTCAGCTAAATATTCTATTTCTACTTCTATTTACCCCTTTGTGGCTTTTTTCTTGCTTTCACTATCCTTATCTGCCAATAATTCGGAGAGTTCACTTTCATTCAGCGAAGCAAATCTGCTGTCGGCCATTGTTTGTTTGTTTTTTTCGCGCGCTTTTTGGTTCAAGCTTTTGGTCGCGCAAGGGTTTGGGCACGAGAGAGTCCAATAATTTTTTTTTTGGATGCAAGTTCGATCCAAAAAAACAATTATTGGACGCTGATGACGTCATCGGCGAAAAATACGTAATAAATGCCGAATACTGAAAATTAGCCGGTGCTTTCTGACCAATTAGAAACGAGAATACATATTAAATGTATAATAATATAATTTATTACACCCACTATATCTGGGTGTTGAAAGTCATGTGACCGGCCGGTGCCAGGGCCTTTTCCCGCCTTCCCAGTGACAAAAAGGGAAAAGCCCTGGGAACGAGGTTGATGTTAAAACTTCACATTATGTACTGTTTAAAACACGAGTAGGACTGTTTTGTCAGATATAAAACACGAAGCGCAGCCGAGCGTTTTAAATAGCTTAAAATATGACTACAAAAGAATACTAATTAGGATGAACAATTATATAAAAATACTAATGCCACATGCATACATGTGTTTTATCAGATTATTAAGTCGCTCCACGTGACGTAATATGGCTAACATGATATGCCACAAGGTTTATGAACCATTAAGGAGTATTTTAAGTTATTTTGAAACGTTTGTTATATTTGTAATACTTTTAAATTATACCGCTGGATGTATTCATGTCATTTCCCTATCACCTGACATATAGAGTGCACCAGAAACCCGAATACTTCAGGAATACAATTTCATCCCGGGGGTGGGGAATTTTGCCCAGGACTTTTGTCCCGAGGGAGTGGCATTTGACATTTTTTTCTGTAAAAATGTCAAATCCCCACCCCTTGCCCGACCCCCCCACCCTCGGGATTAACATTGATAGGTGCATTAGACATAGTTAAATAATAAAGTAGGGGTGCATTAGGGCGCAATGGGACTGAATGGGCCAATTGAATAACTAAGGCCCGTTTTAAACGTTGTGCTTCTCATGTGCCAAACACATTATAACAACAATAGATTAATGAGGCTTCTCAACTGATTATCTATTGTTTTTAATGTGTTTGGCACATGAGAAGCACAACATTTGAAACAGGCCTAAAAAAGACTTGTGTATTGATTTTATCAAACAATCTAGGAAGTACCCAACTGTAGAGAGAAGACATCATTTGATCCATGGGAGAAAGTCTAACCATGAATTACCAGATGATAATCATGTCATTAAATCTGTATTTGAAAAATTGCAAATTGGACGTAAAACAGAAGAGGTAAAAAGCAATTCTGGAGTTGTTTGCCTCTAAGGATAAACAATTTATTGCAGATATAAAAACATTGTTTATTCTCATGTGAAACTTTAGTGTTTAAATGTTTGTCAAAATATTATTTTAATGCTTTATTATAAAGCATTTTATATTATTTTGGTTAGGTCACCATGTTAATTAGTGCTGTTACAGATGCTTCTTTCAAGTACTGAAGGAATAAACAGCATTTCTGTATGTTACTAGCTGTTAACCCATTGAGCCCTAGTGCTGTCCCCTTGATGAGTAAAATTTTATGGCATAATGATGAGTAAAATAAAGTCGTTCATGCTTTTTTCATATATGCCAGTATGTCACCATTGTTTATTATTTTGATGTAGTTTATGGAAGAGTATGATGGTTGTCAGCAGAGCAAAGGAGAACCTGTTTTAAAATTGGACTTCAATGGTGAAATATTATGGCCAGTTATTGCAATTCAAAAGGTTGTTGCATTGTTAGATATATAATATTAAAAGCCTTGTATTATTTATGAATTTGAATTTTCAGATATTTGAATTTGAATATTTGAATTTTTCTTTAGTTTAATTTGATTTTTATCTGTGTTTGTCTGGTTGAAAAAAAAGAATTTGACAGCAACACTCCATTAGTAGAAATGTAAGTTACAATATCATTCCATAATTGTGTATGCATTGTGTACCTATTTTTATATTTTGAAATAGTTTTCATCTAATTAACACCTTTAATTAAATAAATAATATTTACAGCTGTGAGATGGTGCAATTACAGAATAAAGACTGTACAGAAGCCCAACTTCTTGGTTTTTCCTATGATTTTGGCATAACCGTAATTTGTCATCAAAATGCTGATGCTATATGGTCCTAGCCAGTGTGTGTATGAAAGCCATTCACCCCTGATAATATTTAAAATGGCAGACGTCCACAGGGGAATGCCTTTCATAAATGCACTGGCTAGGACCATGGCGTCAGCATTTTGATGACGAATCATGGCATGGCAGCGGTTATGCTTTTTTGGCCGAGTCAACCTTCTGTGTGTCTTTATTCTGTGGTCCAATGCTCTTTGCATGCCTGTAAACGCATCCTGAATGCTTTATGTAAACATTTTAAATAATGCCTGGGGATGAGGCAGGTTCATTACCAAACAAAACAATTACAGTATACTACAAATCTGCATGTCCAGTGCAGGGTAGTACAATACTGTGGAATAACATTTTAGTACCAATAGGGCATAGTTGCATTCATCAAGGGTGGGTAGTAGCGAAGTAGTTGTAGTTTGCTACTGTAGCGAACTACAATTTTCAAGTAGCCAGTAGTTTTTGACTACTTTTTCAAAACAGTAGCTGTAGTTATAGCGAACTACATTTTGCCTAAAAGTAGCCAAGTAGTTGACTACTTTTCAAACAGCAAATCGCTTTTCGCTACTTTTTAAAATTGTTAGCAACTTGATAGAATAGAATGTTATTAAGACACAGTTTGCTTAAAATCAACACTCAATTTGCACGAATAACGTATGCCGTGCAAATGTTCAAACTGTGCAAGTGCATGCCGTCTTATTTACTCGCTTAAGTCGATTTGTTATAGGTTACATTACAGCCTGAGCTATAGTAAATGTTCCAATTACAGTAAAATTAAAAAATATTGAGTAGCGAAATAGTTGGCCACATTTTTTAAGCAGTAGCTGTAGTCAGTAGCGAACTACTTTTGTTAAACAGTAGCAGTAGTTGTAGCTGACTACATATTTTTGAAGTAGCTGTAGTTATAGCGAACTACAAAAAGTTTGTAGTCAACCCACCCTTGGCATTCATTCACATTACATTACAGTATAGTATATGGCAGTGTAGCCTGTGCACATCCTAATATGTCAGTGCAGTACAGTACAATTCAAAAACACAGCACAAATTTGATTAATTTAATACATATTTTATAAAGGGTATATAATTATTATTTATAGACCAGCTATATCTATTGGGTATGCACTGATACACAATATGATTGAGTTCCTGGAATTGGTACCGACAGATAGCAATGCACAGGTACAATATGACATTGACACTCCTTCATCTTTTAGTTTTGAGTATTTCATAATGCATAATTTATTGCACAACCAGCAAACTGGTTAAAAAGCTGTGTGGTTATTTTTACATTTTCTAGCTTGCTTCACAAATTCAAGAGCTTGGCATACTGCTAAAAATCTTGATGCCATTCGGTTCACCATCTGATACCAACTTTAGTGTCATGAAAAGTTTCTTACTTGGGAAAGATATAGGGTGGTTACCAAAATATAGAGTAAGTCATGTTTTCTTAGACGTACTACATACAAACCTAAAGTGCATAGGTTGTTTATGGGCATACAGTGTGTTAGGAAAACATGCAAACAATTGCCTTAACTTTCCTTAATATTTTTAGTTATCAGCATGGCGACCTTTGGCTGGCAGCAAGACTAGAAATCAGTTACACTTCACGATACGAGAGCAAGTCAATGCAGCAATATACAATGACTCGGAGAAGACTGTGTATAAAGATATGTGTCGTGTTTATGGAACTGTTTCATGCAAGGTAGTTCCGATTATATAATACTGGTCAGGTTCCACCCCAACCCCTCCCCCAACACCCAACCCCTCCCCCAACACCCAACCCCAGTAGCCCTAATGTGGCCTATTCTGTGGTGTAGCCCCAAATAACGGCATAAATGTTTTCCCTTTTCAAGGCTGATATCGAAGGTGTTCCTGAAGTCTCGCTAAATTTCTTCTCCAAGCCAAATATCCACATTGCTTTTCATCCATGTTTACAATGGGTGGACATTACTTCGAATGGGAGATCAGGCTCTGTAGGGGACTCATCACCAGACTTCTACCGAACTGTAGAACAAGTCCCAGTCTCCAGAACTGTTTGTTTCACTCCGCCACATGAAATGTTTCCACTTTGCCATATGAATGGTGACTCGCAACTTCCCGTGAAAGGTGTTTATCAGTTGAAGACTGAGGTAGGATGATTGGAACTGGATTGAATAATGTCCAATTTATACGAATGATCCAATGTGGACAATGATAGTTTGTCTCATAATTCGTTTGTGTATAAGCGCGGCTAACCGACTTGCTTGTGTGTGCGTAGTTCATCTTGACAGACGATTCGACTACCGTATATTTACTTGATTGAGCGCCGCCCCCGATTGAGCGCCGGCCCCGAATGAGCGCCGCATCTGAAAGTCTAAAAAATTAAAGAGCGCCATGGCGCTTAAACGAGTAAATACGGTATGTCAACGAGATGTGTTCGAACTGCTTTGTTCCCAGTTGGTGACAAGCCTGGAACAGGTTGTTATCATCTTGTAACATTAGGTTGAAGAGGACAACAGACACACAACAGGTACAAGTTGTTCCAACAAGTCTGATATCGTCTAGCAGTTGTTAACACGTTCGTGACAATAAGCTCGTAGAAATTTGTTACAAACAGCTTGTATTACTGTGGTCTTGTTGGAACAACTTGTATCAAGTCTGCTACCATCATCATTCCATCAACCTTGTAACAAGGAGATAACAATTTGTTCCAGACTTACAAGTCACAACAAATTGTTCTCTGGAACAAGGATCATGTAAGGTATATCATGTAGGTTCATTGAGGATTTTATAAGATTTAAAGATATTATTTCTTCAGAGAGAGGTCACACATGTTCAAATCCAACTTCAACTGAGCGAGGGAGTAAAGAATTCATTTGAATATTTCGAAATCCACATCCCATTTTTTCACAGGCAAGTAAAAGTTCGATATTCTATGCATTCTTCAATTACCCTTATCGGTGAAAGACTGATTTGTTCGTTAATTGTTCAATTAGTAAGTTAATTGGTTGATTAGTAAGTTACACAATTTGTTCTATTGAAAGAATAAATGGGATTTATAGAATAAAGTTCTAATTTCAGTGGACCGATCAATAAATGGGACTTTGCCAATACGTGGGGAACAGTTCTTGTTTCGCCAGAGAAAAGAAAACTTGTTTGGAGTTTAGGTTTGTTCCGTGTATCGTTAATACCCTAAATTTTACAAGTATATACCTCTGTATCATGTGTACATCTATAGACCTCTTGACTTGGCTGCGTTTTTCTAGGGCAGAGATTTCCAAAGTCGTTAAAAATCTCGCTGAATGCCACTGTGTTGCTTGCTGAAGCTGCTACAACATCTGAACGAAGTAATTTGAAGGAGAATCCTTTCTGTCACGGCCTAAATACATATATCCAGGTACACTAATGCCAGTCGTGTACGCTGGTGGTCGTATAATAAATGGGTCCCACCCAGTTTCGTATACCTTGCACCCAAAAGCTTATCCGTTAAATTAAATTGAAATCTCTATTATTTAGATATTTTTTAAGTCAACAAATACTTCTGTAAGTGGAATCACTATCGATCCAAAATCGATAAAACTTAACCCAAGCTCGTCTCCAAAAGTGCATGTCGGTAAGTACCATGGATTATTAACAGTCTCGGAAATAATATAACAAATTTGGTCAATATGTGTAAGATTCTTGGACCCATCAACCATAGGTAAACTGCAACCGAACCGCAGTTCTAGGAATTATTACCAATATTTTTCATTTGTATTTTCAGTGAAAGATTTGGTATCTTCAGATTATAAGATATGGAACTCGCATGGTGACGCCCTAGTGGCATTTCCGCCTACATTATGATACGACGTTTACTGACGTCATAAGTAAGTTCCAGGCAGGGAGCTCCATATATGTCTGGAGCGAGAACTCGAGTCCCTTTCTATTGTTTTGGTCTGCAAGGAGTGTGCCGAAATTTCGTATTTTGACTTCGATTTAAAGAATAATACTATGGTTTTGTGAACTGATAATACTGTGGTTTTATGAACTGATAACTTTGTTTAAAACTGGGGGAAATGGTATTACTGTTTACAATCTTCAGAGCTATAGGCAATTCCAGCTTTTAGTTTATGCCTGCAGGGGATGATGGGAAGTAAGGTATCATATTGCTAATTATGCTGAAACATTTCAATAAAAACTACCGAAACAACCGAAATATTTCAATATTTACAAGTATAAGCTATCACTCCGTGTTTACACGGCCATCATTTTAATTTTTTCAGCATAATCAGCAATGTGATACCTTACTTCCCATCGTCCCCTGCACGCATAAACTAAAAGCTGGAATTGCCTATTGGACGTCAATGGCCGCCATCTTGGCTTCACTTTTCTCACTGGCCGAATGACTGAAGTTCTTACTCCAGGTATATATAGAGCTCACTGATTACATGTGGATAATGTGGGTTATTGGGGGAAACCAGTGCATAGGACAATGCGCTAGGTTATTAAGCTAATAAGTGCAACTAGCTTAGTTGCAGGCTAAATATTTGAAAGATAACTACAGATAAAATTCTTAATTTAAAATAGTATCGCCAATGAACAAGGCAAACCACATCAAAAGCAATAAAAAGACTTTAATTACACATACAATAGTCGAGTATACAAAATTTTGCTTTAAAGTGTACATGACATGAAATTTCTAGTTTCTTGAACGAAAGAACTCTTTAAGCTGTAGTGTAACTTATTTTCAGTTTCTTGTTTTTATGGTTTGTTCCCGAGATATTTCAATTTGTTTGATATGTAAATGAGTGTGAATATGTCCACTAATTTATGACGTCACATTGGTTGCAAGCTCAACTTACACTGGTTATCATTATTATTATTAAAAACTGTAGATATCAGTTCGCATTTTTCTCCAGTGTTTCATCACATTTAATACCAGTGAGTGAAGTTTGAAATTATCATCTTGGATGATAACAGTGATATTCAACCATTTTGAAGAGCTTGTAACCAATGTGACGTCATAAATTAGCGGACATATTCACACTCATTTACATGTCAACCAAATTGAAATATCTCGGGAACAAACCATAAAAACGAGAAACTGAAAAATAAGATACACTACAGCTTAAAGAGTTTTTTCATTCAAGAAAGAAATTCATGTCATATTTAATGCATCATATATTATTGGCATTGTATTATAGAATATTCTAAAATGCTTTTTCCTTTAAAAACCATCAAATAGCTTTCGCTGAATTTCATGCAGTTGTAAAAGCTATTATCATTAAAAGAAGACATGCATTTGTTAATTATTCACATAACAATACATCCTCGTTGTCAAATTTAACCATCAAAATGTGTTTTGGCTTTAGATATTGCTTCGTTGAGGAACTTGTAATAATTTGCGCTGAGTCCATCTGATAATCCAGGCACAGCACTAAATATTAATGTAGCAAAAATAATAAACTTGTAACTTAAGATTGAAATTAAGAGTTTTATCGTAGTATATACATCATTCGCAGAGTTGATGGAGTGTAGCATTAATGCACGCATAACCTTGACTTCATTCTTGGATTTCTTTTGAATTTTATTCCGCCTTATGTAATTTTTGATGTTTCTGTCTTGTTTCAAAAGAAGAATGATTTAACTAGGTTTTGTGAAGTCGTGGTCACTACGCTTGCCTCTGGAGACCCGGGTTCAATCCTTCATCGGATCTCTACTCAAGATCTCAAAATAATTGAGGAGAAAGTGCTACCTTTACATTGCCATCAGTAAATGGTTAGACTTTCGCGTCTTCTCGGATAAGGACGTTAAAATTGGACGGTAAAATCCGCTCATCAATGAGTGAGGAACTCAATAAACAACAAAGTCCGCGCTCCAATAATTCTGCGAATGGTCTTATTTTCTCCACAGATATCTCATGCTGGGTAATTAATGTGCTAGGTTAGAAATATGCCTGCAGAGGCTAGATCTGCTACACAGTGATATACTCAGTGTTCAGAATCTTACCTAGAATCAGCATCGTCGCTATCAACTAGTTCATTGGCATTCATTCTGTGTACCACTGTACCATTAGGAAGCGCTACCATACTTTCCACTGGGAACCTTGAAATATAACAGAATAATAGTTCATGGATATTGTAATTTGTAAATTAGTCATATTCCAGATTTTCAGCTCATATACGGACCTGTAACTTTCTAAGGCTAGTTCAGCCTGTGTCTTCAGTTCTGGAGTAATATATTGATTCGTTGATAGTCTCTGTAATAAGTAAAAGCACTTGAACGTATTTCAGGAGTGAAAATGACCTAATATATGAACAAGACTGAACGTGAATTTGCTATCCCACCTTGATATCTTGAAGCAGAGACCAGGTGCTGACAAAGTGTGATGTCAGCAATTCCATAACGGGCGAACACTCGAGAGCCGTGTCTCGGAGAGTCCGCCCAGAGCCTATAGTCAGACAACGAAATCATATGATGAGACTGTGATACCTCCATGAAGTATTCTGTTTGTTGTTGGATGTTGAGCCATATTAGATGAAAGCGCTCCAAATACAATAGCTGCTAATGAGGTTCTTTTGTCAAATGCAAAGATGATATTTTCCTTGCTGTGATAATTTGTTCAATTTTCTCAATTACAATTTGTTAAAATATGAAACTGAAGCCTTACCTCAGCATGACTGGTCGTCAAGTGCTCCCCAAAGTAAAATGGAGTGCACTAACTTTTTCTCCTCCTTCGCTTTGGTGTAAGCCTTGTCAAACGAAAGATACGGCACCTAAAATACATTTAAGAAATGCATTTCACAGTTTTCGTTTAAAAAAATTCAATTAGATTAACATATGGTAAAGTAACTGGTATTAACATAAAACACAGTTAATATATCCTAACCTTTTTGAATGGATACATTTTCGTTTCCAAAATGGTTATTGCTTCCTCATGCGATATTTCTCTCTGCCATTTTATTTCACGCTCCTCGGGGCTCGAGGAGACGTTAGCTGCATGATAGTATGATGGAGCTGTGCTTCTCAGTTTCATTTTCGGTAAATAACCTGTTGATAGAGTTTGTAGATGTGAGAAAATGATTTGTGTGGGTATTTGCTTAGTATTTAGGATCCAGAGGTTTCGCTGAAGACAAGTAAGAAGGGAGCAGAACATATTATATGGGATGGTAGACATTGCAGAGAAGGTGAGGGAAACAGCGATGGTATGGATACGTAATAAGTGATGGAGAGTCGCAACTTAGTCCCAGGCAGTCTCTTCGCTGTTCTCATTTTGTTCCTGGGGTGTTGTGTGACCACTGTGCAACATCTTGAGTGGTGACGTCACACTTGCGTTCCACGTGCTAACATGTTTCAGAGCGAAAGCAGGGCGTCTATAAGGCGCAAGGGACTAGGCTGAGAGAGCCGGTTTAGAGACGTGGAATGAAGAGATCAGAAGAAGATGTGGGGTGGCAGACATTGTGGAGAAGGTGAAGGAAGCAAGGTGACGATGGCATGGACACGTAATAAGAAAAGATAAAGGAGAGTCGGAGACTTTATGGAATGAAGAGATCAGAAGAAGATGTGGGGCGGCAGAGTGCAGACATTACGGAGAAGGAAGCAAGGCAGTCTCTTCTTATTACCTGTCCATACCATCAAGAGACTTTATGGAATGAGGGATCAGAAGATGTAGGGTGACAAGCATTGCAGAGAAGGTGAGGGAAGCAACACACATGAAGTTGACCAGCTCTCCATTTCGTCTTAGTTTAACACGTAATTGGAAGAGATGAAAGGAAATAGTCAGAAAGACGTTATGGAGCTGATGATGAAGGGAAACGGAGATCATGAACAGACTACCTAATCAAGTATCAATATACCAAGAAACAGTTGGCAAGGGTGGGAAAAAATTATTTAGGACAAAAATCAGTCTGGGTATTAGTATCTAATACCAATTAAATAGCTGAAGAAGGAATCGAGTGAACCTCCTTGCATTTGGTGCTTTTCTCAAATTCAGTGATTAAAGTGTAAGACAATATACTGTAAAGTTTTCAATTCAGCTTTAACTAATTGAATATTTTTACCGATGTCCACCTCCATGTTATTTTGTTCGTTGACTTCATTGTCTGAAAAAGAGAATGATTGATGAAATGGAAATGTTCCAATGAAAACCACCTGCATGAATAGTGTGTCTTGCAGGTATATGCCTAATGACTGAAACTGTGCAAGGAGAAAAATGGCAGGTGTCGGTATTGTGACTATTGTACCAAGTTGCAGCTAGGATACACTCTCATACATGTTCATCACACACATATTTATAATCATTACCATCAACAGTTGATTCACCATTTTTCTCAGTTCGTCCAGTTAACCATTCCATATCTAAAAAAAAATTAAGAAGATGAATTTCCAGTGAAAACAAAAATAAACAATATAGTCAGTCCAACATCTGTACTCTTTCTCTGTATGTCCAGCATGAATCCTACATACATTGTAGATAACTATAGTTCATCAAACTAAAACCTACCCACATTTAAAGTCTTGTTGCATGGTACTTCCATTTCAAAATGGTGAATATGGCTACCATCTTTACTGATGATCAGTCGGCCAGAAAATTGTGCTGGTGTGAACCAGAACGGCAGTAATGGAGGTGTATTCAGTTGAAACTCTGCATGAAGCCTGAATTCGATTTCTAGGAATTTCTCATTTTCAGCTCTCACACAGGCCACTGCTCCTTGTGGTGGGAACCGAGAGTACAGGAAAGGCCTGGGGTGGAACATATGCAGGAGATACTGTAGGATCACATGATCAGCATTCACTGCTGGGGGGGTGTAGCGATTGCTGGAGAGGTCAGGTCCTAGAAATTTGAACAGTAGCTGGCAAGTTGATCTGTCAACCAGTTGGTTATATGACCAGGTGGTTAGTTGGTCGGTTGGTAAGTCAGAGATAGTGGGTCAGTCGGTCGGTAAGTCAGACAGTTTATTATTCAATCAATTAGTTGGTCAGTTAGATGGGCAACCATTCTGTCAGTTGGTGAGTAAGTTGCCTGGAGTCGGTTGGGCAGGCAGGCAGTTGGTCAGTTAGCCAGCCACTTGGTTGGTCAGTGGTCCAAACAGCCTTATTCTACCCACCTCCCAGTTTCAGGAGATACCCAATTAAATAATCAATAAACTGACCATAACGAGACGTATTGGGTACGACAAAGGTCCATGCGTTGCCCAGATCTATATTCTGTCTCTTTGGAAGAAAACAACTGAATGCTTCCACTGCAAACCCAGCCTCTTCCTTCAATGCACTCTGCCATCTTCTTAAGCCACCCAATGCTTGCATATCTTCCTGAAGTTTAAAAGATTGTGTGGAAATATTTGGAGGTACTTGTCGTTAATGTTTGGAGTAAAGGGAGGAGAAAGGGGGAACAGCATTTGTTAGTGTTACTTTATAATGCTCATCCAAATACAAGGAACCTGCCAGGAAATGTCCTGATATCTTAGTGGATTGTACCAGCTTGTAATTTATATGTCACATACTTGCAATAACTGTCCATCCTGAAACTTTGTCATAGAATCCAGATCCAGTGGTGTGAACTCGGCTTTTATGTCCAATATTTCACCATCGGTGGTTTTAAGATCTTCAAACTTTTTGTCAATATCATTATCGTTTATCCATAAACCCTCTGGTTCCTAAATACAAAATGTATAGATCTGATCAGAGGTGTACGTGACTTAAAGGTTAGTGAAACCGTTATAATGGTAGTGATATGTTACACCCCTGTCTATCAGATGAACCTGGACCACACCCCTAGCTACTCTATCAAACACGTACTGTATAGTTCATGGGGAATGAAATTATGGGGTTGGGGCTCCTCTCCCCCACCCCCTCCCCACACACACCACAGTCTGCCTGTATTATAAATTCCATTACATTATTAATACAATTTCAAACGTTTACAATATAATATATATATAAACTATTACGTTCTTGTAAATAGATGCTTAGCTATATTAATATGTTACAGCAAGCTACTCTGGATTACAATTATTTCCTACAAATATTTCGATCTTACGGCTTGCAGGTATGTTTTGCTTATCCTCTGTTTTACAGCTTCAAATTCCCGCAGGTTAATAACACCATCGGTATTTGTGTCGTACGCGTTGAAAAGCAGTAAAGTTTCTCTTGGAAATTCATCGTCTGAAGCAGGAAACACTGCATTAAGGTAGATGTTAATTAAAATTCCAGTTTGCAACACTAAAATACTGAGAAGGAACAACGCTGCATTTCGCCATGAAAACATTGCGAATGAATTCCTGTTACAAACAAAGTCTTCCGTCTCAGATGCATGTGTCGCATTCTATTGTATAATTCCCCGAAGTAGCAAATCACATGACGAGATTTCATGGAATTATTACAGGTATAAAAGTATTTAAAATTATAATTCTCGCTTTCATCCTATTATATTATTTACATAAATAATGTCCCTAATTATATGATAGTTTAAATTTGCCCTTTCACCCTCACTACAGGGCCTCGGGAGCAATTGAGCACCAAATTGAAAGTTGTACCAAGTGTTGCACAGTTTATAACTGGGTATTTTCTTCTGTAAACTGGGTATTTTCTTCTGTAAATTAGAAGTGTATGTGAATTGTTTTAGAGAGGATATTCACAAATTACATGTTAGGTGCCGATTACATGGATCGTTTTCACCCAGGGTTGAACTCGGCCCTGTTGATCGGGTTGAAATTTCAGCCCTGTCTGTAATACAAAATTATCAGCTAGGGTTTAAAATTTGCATTGTCCTGCATTACCGATTAGCATAATAATTTAAAATTTGTGTTCTGAAACGATAAACAGTATTTTTTCCTCACGCTAATGTAATCACAGTAAATTTTTAGTGTTTTCACGACTGACAGTAACCGGAATTGAGTGAATCACGACGCACAATATACCCCATCAACACCCTCATATGTACCAGCGTAGGTAGTAGCAAAAACATCAGAGAAATGCAAATTGATATTGATTCAACTACCTGAAAAAAGTAAAACTTCATTTACTGCTATAAAGTAGGCTTGATCGCAAGCCTGCTTTATAGAAGACAGCAGCAGTATCAGATACAGTAGGAGAGGGCTAAAGTTTACAACTTGCTAATCCCTCCCCCCTTGCCCAAATCTTGTTCCCCACCCGTGTGTAACTTAAACTCCCACCCTCCTGCTGTTCAGCTGTGCAGATAAATTAAAATGATGGCCGCGACTGTGGATGGAAAAGGCATGAAAAGCCAGGCTAAAAACAAAGATGCTACCCAACAAACACTCACAATTAACTTCGTGCCGGAAACAGAGCGATATTCAAAGCCTACGAATATGGAGGAACACATTCGAACATATTTTGAGGGAATAAACGGCATCAACCGCCGAATTATTGCGGAGGAGAGAAAAATCATTGCACAGAATCGAAATACGTGGCCAAGCTTGACGGTCGAAGAAAGGGACAAGCTATTGAACGACCGCTTCATTGCGAGCGACATTCGGCAGAAATATAACACAAGCGATGAATATTGGAAAGAAAAGACGCCGTGGAATCCTGAAGAGTTGATTTCGTCTGAAGATTTAAAACCATGCCCTCGAGAGGAGAGGACAGACAGTATGTCATTAAATGTATGTTTAATATTTATTTAACATTGTATTATAACGCTGTTTGATTTGTTCGGTTATTCTTGTCTTGAAGGAGCCTTTTTTTACGGAAAGGGAAATGTTTTTACAAAGCAGTGCTTGAAATTTGATAAGGTTATAACCGTACAAAGAGCTTTTTGTCTCAAATTTGTCAAATATAATAATATATTAGTTTTATACTTTTATCACATTACTAGAACACAATAGCCCTAGCAACGCCCCTGTGTTTGCATTATCTTAATGTAAAATTGTGTCCATGTTATTGTTGCAATTTATACTTCCTGTTAGCAGGTTTAAAAATGTACATGTGCAAAGTGAAAATGCAAAGTTGCTAGCACAACACATGTTTTGTTGCTATTTGAAGCTTCCAAATATTAAATATTGTCCACTCTATGCTCTAATACTTTATTATTTTACTCTGACTAAAGGTATGTTTCCACGCTGCGATTTGTTCCGATTTGTATTCTGGCATATGAAAATAATTGTTGACGTCAAAATTCCTCTTTGTTTAGTTTATTAGCGAAACTAAAATGCAACATACCACTTTGTGTGCAACACCAGAATACGAATCATACATGACAAATTTCAGCAGGTAAACATACCTTTACACCAGACTTTACTCTATCTATTAAGTCAAACGATTTTACTCATTAAGGGGAGAGTGCTGACTTTAGACCAGGCAATTTTACTTCTGAAGGGAAAAGTGTTTGGCATTTATAACTCAATTTACTTATTGTTCTAGGATTCTTTCTCCAAGCCATTCCAATGGGCCACAAAGGTAGTGATTCTTTTCTTTACAAATAGAACACAGTTTTTGAAAAGTTTTGCAATAAATAATCTCATAATAACATATGTGTCTATGCTAACAGAGTCAGAGAAACCTTAAATTTCCTGCAATTAAACAAGAAAAAAGAAGGATTAACACAGAACAGCCACAGCCAACAGAATCGACTTCGAAGAAGTCCGATGAGATAAACAATGCAAAGGCAGAAGATGAAACTGTTAAAAAACTAAACAATGTCGAGCAGAGCATAAAAGAAAAACAAATAAAAACTACAAATGAAAATATTAAAGGAAACATTGAAAGCAGTAACCCAGGAAAATCTAAAGTGGTAGAAGATAAACCAATAACGTCAACATCAAGAAGTAACGAAAATCTGAACCAGCTTGATGAACAAGAATCCACATCTGAACAGGTATTCATCTTGTTTTATAAACGTTTTGTATTTGGTTGTTCAATATCGAGCTAATCAGTTGACTTGTTTATGCATGTTGCTATACCAAATACACTCAAATGCTTGGTTATCTTTCTTACATTCTGTGTTTACATTATCATAACAGTGGTAACTAGGAATGTGAGTAATAATTTGGCAACTAAAAACTGTCAACAGAAGGAAAGAATGTGTCAATTGTTTGGGTCAGTTCAACCAGATGACAATGTTATTTTTCCTTATTTTACAGCCTAAACCTGAAGGGAATGAATACATGGATGGATCAAGTAACATATTTGAATTTCTACAGAGTTGGAATCCATGATAGTGCATAAATAAGCTATATTTGACCATGCATGGGAATGAAAGTAATAGAATATTGTCCAAATATTTCTGAAAATGTGGGTTCTTAATTTGCATTATTCATTGAGAGTGATTCTTTATTACAGGGGAGATTGAGACAAGTACAGTTTGGACAAGAAATATGTTAAATATCTCATTTGATATACTCATTTAATTATACCAATAAAGTGATACAAACAAGGATTATCCTTTCACACTTTCTCAAAAATAAAAAAAAATAAAAAAAGTCCCCAAAATCCTAGCTGCCAAAAATTTTGAAATCCCTAAATTCCAAAACTTCCTATAGTCACTAAAATTCCCACAAAATAGCTAAAAATCTCTTGCAAAATGCACAAAATCCCTTTGGAAATCCCAACATCTAGTGAAAATCCTAAATTCTTGCCAAAAAAAAATAAATAAAATCTGCTGAAAAAAATGTTTGCAAGGATTTTAAAGTCTCAAAAATCCTCCTACATTTTTTTCTGCGTATTATAAATTCACCCCTTGATACAAACTATGAATTTACACTGTTATTTTGTTATGATTCCTCATTATCAGCTACTGTTGGTGTGAAAATACTTGAATCTGCCATCAAGTAATTAAATTTTTTTGCAATAATAAAATACTCAAAGTGGAAGGCATCTATTACATTCATTCCCGTGGCCATATCGGAAGTTCATTAATGAATGTAGATATGTAGTAATACTTTAAATTGGAAATATTTGCTTGTTAAATGATTACATAAAGTCTGTATAGTTTTTGAACATTGTAATTTATATTAGTAGTGAAACTGTTAGTGTGGAAAGGTCTTCATTTAATAAAGGGAAATTAGTGATTGATTGTTAAAAATTGTAATATATAATAATTACATTTTGTCAGTAAAACATGGTCTACTCATTGGCTTGATAATTTCCATCAACAACACAGCTATTGAATCGAGTAAGATGCCAACAAAATCTTGATGTTTTACTCATTGGCCTTTTTATTGCCGTCAAATGAATTGATTTTATTTATTTATTTTATTTTATAAGATTAAGATTTTCCACAGAGACAAATATAAATACCACGAAACCATTACACAGTCATGAGACTGACCACAGGCAGAGGACCACAGGGAAATATGGGATAATCTCCAATAACGGGGTCTCAAACAAATACTAACAATACAAATTTGTAAGTGTTTGCCAGTGTGTTAGACTAAATGCCCCAAGTCTCACTCGAATGGGTTTTGATAGGGTATATCCAGTTTATTATGAGATAACACTTGGGGCAAGTCTACCAGTGTGTTGACCTAATCCTAATACATATCTCTGGTGTACACTTACATCACAGACCAATCTCGTACCCAGAGCAATGCCTGTGCGCGGGCTAGGATGGCATTGGCTCTGGGGAAATTGACAACTGGAACCCCTAAATTTAGGGGTTCCGGTTCTTTGTCGGCATGCACGATTGATAAACGTTAAACCAATCACAGCACAGGAAAAATTCAATTTTCCCAGAGCCAATGCCATCCTAGCCTGCGCACAGGCATTGCTCTGGGTACGAGATTGATCAATGGATTGATCACAGACATGAAAATTAGGCTGTGGGCTGATGTGCGAAAAAGTGCCTAGAAAAGCAATTTCGTGGCACCCCCCTGGGAAATAGATTTTCTGTGGTTCAATTCATAGAACCATAGATGCTTAATTACCACAAAAAGTTCCCAAGCAGAAAACTTGCCCAACACCGAGAAAATGGGTGATCAGTGATTATCCTCTATTAAATTGTATTACAGGCTTACAGCAAGAAAATGTAAAATTTTGTATTCAATTACAACAAAAATGACTTGCAGAATCAGAAAGCTTACAAAAACCTACATATAAGACATTTAAACAGTTTTTTTATATCTAAAATTTTTTCGAGTTATACGCTGTCAAAAACGCGTTTTTGACCTAGTACCCAGTCCTTATTGCGACATTTTGGTCCAATTTTCACATTTAAAACAGCAATAACTCGAAGACTATTTGAAAAATAAAAAAACTGTTTAAAAGTCTTATATGCGGTTTTTTGTACGTTTTCCGAATTTCCCATTTTTTTGCTGTAATACAATTTAATAGAGGATAATCATTGATCACCCATTTTCTCGGGATTGGGCAACGTTTTTGCTTGGGAACTTTTTTTGGTAGTGATGTACCTATATGCCTTTCAAATAAACCCCAAACCAAGTATTTCCCACATGGGTGCCACGAAGCGAAATAATTTTGGCCAACAGCCCACGGCCTAAATGAGGCATGTCAACAAAACACTAGCCTGCGTGCAGGCCCAAGGGAACTGATAACAAAACACTTGCCAGCCGTCCTCGTTTTATACATTTCGGTTTTCGAATAAATTAAAATCCTCGAGGTTGTTACACGCATGTTTCGCGCGAGATGCCCACGCGTCGTCCACGTTCCAATATGGAGGACGAAAGCGCTGTAGAACGACCACAAGAAGACAATAACGAATCGAGCGATGATCATGGCATTAGCAGTGCAGTATCTTCAATATATGGCGGAGCTAAGAAGATTGGATCGTTTGTTGTGCCTCCAACACCAGATTTATGGCCAGATATGGACAAAGTAGATGACATGGTTCAAGTGATAACTTACGCTGGGTATGCTCTCATATCATTTGGCGTTATTGGTAGCGCCTTTTTCGCTCTGAAAACCACACGAGAACTGGCTCAATGGAGAACTTGGTTAAAATTTAGGAAGTTTGGAAGACGGTGGTAGCATCCAGAAGCTGTATTTGTACTGTACACACGATTTAAAATCATATATAGATAAAATACAGAATGCTATATAAAACCTCAGTATAAAATATTATGGTCGGATGTACAATATATTCCATTTACTCATAAGGCATCATTGTGAATGTTAAGTAATGTAGGCAAATAAAGGTTCAATATAATTGAACAATACTTAACTTGTATGTCTGTGAAAACATTACCCAGAAATGACGGAATGTTGTATACTGATAAAATAAAAATATTAAATAAAATAAATATGCACATTTTTTAAGCTTCGTCAAACGCGGGTAGGAGTTGGCATTCGCGTATCGTTTCAAGGAACATTTGAAGCTCTAGGTTAACAATAAAGGTTTGATATAAAGTCTTTCAACTACGTTTTAATTTTATAAATAGAATACATGATAGTGTTGGGAAAGCGTCAGCTAAAAAATGGCGTGTGATTGTCAACTTTCATCATAGTCTGTCAAGATATCACGGTCTGGAAGCTTGGCAAACTTCAAAGCTACAAAATAGAAGAGCTAAGAGCTTTGTTTGATGTTGAACTGTGCCTCACCATGCACAAATCCTTTCTCTCAACTTCATTAAATATTATTGACCGTGGTTGCACGTTTTCATCTCAGCTATCCCTATTGGACGGTTACTTTTGTCTCGGACAAAGACCTTACGATTTTAGGACGGCAACGCGACGGACAAAACAAACTCCTTCAAATAAATGGTATACCATTTAAAGTAAAGATAGTTCGTGGTATATTATCAATCGTATGAATTTAATACAGTTTTAGAAGTTGAAGACATGGGTTTTATGGTTGGGAAGAGTTCTGCTAAACCCAGTTTGAAGTTGCACTTGTTGGGGCTTGGGATGCAGCTGTTGTATCAAGACGTGAAAATCTGTGATTTGGAGTTGTAAACAGAGCGAGGACAGTGTCTAAATTATTCATATATTATAATTACTCGATTCTTTTCAATGATCTATTGTATTGGTAGCCGTTGCCGTCCTAAAATCGTAAGGTCTCTAATGACTTCTGTTTAGTTTCCAGACATCATATTTTGATAGAATATGCTTTCATCACTCGCATTCTTTTGATCCGAGCATTACATAGCACATAACTGATCTAATAGCGAAGATGGGCTGTCGTTTTGCGTATGTTGTCAGGACTGTAAATAAAACGTAGATAGTGCATGAGGGTCTGAGTGAGATAGTGAAATACTTCCTTTCTTCACACACTAAGATGCACTTCTGTGTAACTTATCTGTTCAGCTTCTTGTTTTGTTGACCAAGATTAGGATTCTATGTTTTTTCCACAATCTCGAATCCCGAGTCTGCAACCGGTGGGCCAGTGTTCGAGATTGGTCTTTTCCACTGAACGGAATCCATCATATACTGTTCTAATAACGTATCTAATGAAATGACTGCCAACGTTATATCTGAAAGCTAAACATCCTGAACTAAACTAGTGTCAAAATTAACTTCTGTTCTAGGTTTGGAAAGGTGGATTGTAGTACGATGTAACTGGAGAACGTCCTTGACTTCTTGGAGGTAATTAGTACGTACAGGCTCCTATAGTGAATTTAAAAGATATTAAATTTTGTGTGCATAGTATTGTTTTATGCTGAATTAATATAAACGAGGATGTTTATGACATTCGGTATACAGTTCATAATTTCCATTCTTCGATCCGTCCTGACCGTGTAGCTCAGTTGGTAGAGCATCGATCTAGTAATTCGAAGGTCGCGGGTTCGAAATCCAGCCGCGGCAGGCAGAGTTTTCTGCTTGCGCGCGGTCTGGAAATTATGATACATCCACTCGAAAACAGTGTGAGATAACTGAGATATATCATAATTTCAATATATATACATATATTACATGTATATCAATACAAAAGTCATCGCGTGTCTAGATGTGCACGAAGCTGCACTGGTGAGGTGTAGGCAGGGCCGCCGAGAGGGGGGGGAGGGGGGAATTGCCCCGGGCCCCCAGGTTCTGGGGGCCCCTAGAAATTTTTTGTTGGACCCTAGTCATTTTTTTGGAAGAAATATTTCCGCGCAAAGGGCAAGATATTTGGTTTTTTGGGCAAAGTAACGAAATTTGATATGTAAAATTGAGGTTAAGTCGTTGGAAAGCAATTACATCGTACTCGTCCGGAAAAATTTTGAGGAGGTTGTTCGACAAAAATTTTTTCCGGAAAATTTTTTGAAATCGGGGCCCCTGAAAAAAGATCTCGGCGCCCCTGGGTGTAGGACGCCGGCATGTCTGGAGGTTGTACTATATATAGTTATTCAGCCAAAGGACGTTATTCAGCCGAAGGTTATTACCAAGGCTGTGAGTTTAAGTATTAAATCATCTATCTATCTATCTATATATATATATACGTATGAAACATGCAGCCTTCAGTCCGGCTATGATCTGTAACAACTTGAAGTCTATAAAAAATCTCAGTTTTCCAGCAAAATCAAAGTCTTTCAACTATACATTCTATTGTGCAGTAAAGCGTTCTAACTCAATTTAAGTTAACAGCAATTAAAATTTACACATCTATACACGAAGTTCTGAACTTCAACAATAACTTAAAGAACAACAATCCATGTTATAACAGCAACAAAGATTGCAATATATGATTGCCTTAGGCCTAGCGCGGCGCTTTTCCCGCCGTCTGATAATGTCACGTCACGTCCACCAGAGTCCCGGATTGTGCAACCTAACCAGTCCGGTCCAATAAGCTTGGGATAGCCAGGATATACACTAAATGCGAAGTGATTAAACTTATAGTAATGCCGCCCTTTGAAAAAGTACGTTTCGCCTTCTGGAGTTTGTAAAGCAGCGTCTATGTTATCAGGCACACCCCGCCAAAATAGTTTTATGAGTTTTGGATAACCCGGTACTAATACTTTATTTTGCTGGTCGTATTTCCAATATTTGTCTTGTTTAAAGAAATATGTTTCTCCGTTGCCAGGAAACGTGAGTACCGCGTCCATATCACGCAACTCCGCACGGAGGCCGTAGTCTTCGATATAGTTTGGGCCTTCAACAAGCCTTTTGCCATAGTATTTGTAATATCTAGGAAGAATTAAGTGTTATTAGAGGGTTGTAGCCTTGTTTTATACACTAATGTACAAGACTTTCCCTTACACACGTAAAAATCTCACAACTTGTCAACAAGATGTGTTCACAACAAGCTTGTAGCAAGCTTGTCAATAAGTTGTAACAATGCTGTTATTTTATCAAGTTGCTACGAGCTTGCCACTTACAACATGTTGACAAGTTGTTGAATTACAGGACGATAACAAGTTGTTGGAACAATTTGACAAGTCTGCTGCAGGTTTGTTACAACTTGTGCGTTTTTATATGTGTGTAACCAAAACCTCTTGACATGATAATAACGTACCTATGCCTTGTGAAGAATATCGTATAACCATCGTCCCTCGTGTATGCTGCTCTCACTCGCGTCGTTAAGTCTCTCCAACGTTTGTCTACATTTATGGGTCCCTTGGATGATTCTTCTAGACTTCGACTTAAGACATAGAAGTCGTGTTTCCTGAATGCGTAAACATTCTTGTTGCGTTTGTCATGGAATAAAACATTGAATGAATATTTGCATTCCTTTCTTGGAGGGACTGGCAAAATAATTGGCTTTTCCTTGTTTCTTCCTGTTGGCTTACCTGTAAAATATTAAGAATGGTTTTTACCAAACATTGGATATTTTTTGTACAGGGCATATTACAATCTCTGTTCGATGTTATTTTGTTGTTTCCTAATTGTTATATATATTGCTTCTGTCTGTAGATGGTATTTTGCACCTCACTAATTATCAAACTTTGTAATTAGTCATCTGTCTGGGCTAGTCTCTGATGGGTACTTCTATGCTAGTCAGTGGCGGAAACGTCGCGAAATATTGGGGGGACGAATTGAGGTTGCCAACTTATGACCACCTTCTGTAGCTGAAAATCTTGGTTCTTTAAACTTTGCCTTAAATTTCATGCAAATATAGCTAATTTATAACTACCAACATTTCATGGTTGAAAAATTATTGTTAAAAATTGTAACATTTCCTCCATAACATGTGAGAGAAATGCTTTTAGTTTAGCCCTACCAAGTTTTCTTAGTATTCCGGTTCCGATTTCCTCCTTCAACAGTAACACTATAGACTTACGACGGACTGTTTTTCCAAAGACCCGAGTTTTCCCAAAGGCCTGAGTTTTCTCAGTTAAAGTTTGAATTGGGATTAGGATTTACGATTAGTGTTGAAATTGGAATTGGTTAAAGCATGGACCTACCATAAAGATCCTGTATGCCATTCTTATCATCCTTACTCAGCTTCACATTTCCCATCTCACCCGTGGTGTACCATGGGTACATGATTGCGCCAGCCTTAGGAGTGTGTTTCAGTCCCAGACTGTGACCAAACTCGTGTGTTGTCACCCAAATAAAGTTGGTTGAATCGTCCTCTGTGAGCGAGAATTTCTCGTCCAGATCAAAATGGGCGTCGCCTGCGTAACCTGCAATGATATTAGATTACTAAAAACTCCCAATGTTTGCAATATGTAACTAATATGTTACGCTGCACATGCACGCACGCACATCGTGTCTTTTCATCAAGATCATGTGAATGACATTAAAGATCATTGTTGCAAGATATATAGGGTAATAAACCAAGGTTCAAAGGCCATGATATTTTGGCAGAGTTTAATCCCTCAAATAAGTTTAACTATGAGTTAAATAAGCATTCTTTGGTGTCGTCTACTGCAAAATACACAAAACAAAATGTTCTTGCAAAGTGATCCGAACTTGATTTCTTGAAGCGAGCCAAGAATCAATCAATTGGCAATCCCTATTTAAGTTAGACTATCTTGAATTCTGTATCGATTTCTTGTGTTTTGCGTTTGTAAAATATGCTGAGTTCCTTTGCCCTCAAAATGCCTCATTTCTTCAAAATACTTCGCTTTTATTTGTGCCAAAAATTGTATGCAATATAGTTGAGATGTGAGAAAAACCTACCTGTATTTTGGTTAGGGTAAAAAGCATGAGCGAGAGCTTTGCCTCGACCATCAAACTTGTATTTATCACCGTGATCACCAGACGTGAATTTAATCATGATGTCAGCTTCGCCTTCCTTCAGTTCTGTAAATGTGAGGTCTGCAGCAAACGACCATTTCTGGAGCGCCGCTTTGATTGTTTTTGATATGAGTTCTGGAGTCATGACGTGTCTGTCTGTAGGGCCACTGTAAGGGTCGTTGACAATACGATAGGTCAGATCCTGCAAAAGAAAATGCATCGCATTTACATCGTATAACTAATAGGCAATTCCAGCTATGGACTAAATTTTGATCTCGGCAAGAAGAACAAAATCCATCACCACACTGTTAATTTCGGGGAGTTAATTTAACTCCGGTGGAGTTATACTGTACCTCAATTAACTCCAAATGTGGAGTAAAATTAGGTTCAGGATAATACCACTGGAGTTAAATTAACTCCCTGAAATTGACAGTGCACAGCTAGAAAGAGCATGTTAAAATTAGTAAAATTGCAAAGTTTGGTTGCGAAATGTTGTGAAATGAGGAAAATATAGCTTTGTGAAGTTCGCAAATTTTGCATTGATTTGCATTACGCGCGGTATAAAAATAACCATTTTTGAGCCGAAAGTGGTTATTTTTTTCACGCGCGTAATGCAAATCAATACAAAAATTGCGAACTTCACAGGGCTCTATTTTCCTTATTTTACAACATTTCGCCACCAAACTTTGCAATTTTACTAATTTTAACATGCTCTTTCTAGCTGTGGTGATGGATTTTGCTCTTCTTGCCTAGATCAAAATTTAGTCTATAGCTGGGATTGTCCATTGTAGAAGGGTTTGGTAGATGGAAATTTCGAGTGTGAACAGTTAGGTGTAGTACCTGACCTGCACCGGAAACGCAGGTTCGAATAAATTACGTCTTATAAAAATGTATAAAATTGTATCGGAAAAACAAAATTTTCAAAAGGCCACAAATCGCGTCCTGAATGTCCAAACAACGTGCAATTTTCCTTTATAGACTAATTTGAGCATGAAGATTTTCGTTCTGGGGTCCATTCCTAATTTTCTGCCAAATATGAAGATGAAGAAGAAGTAGCATTGTGTTCACACTTTGATAACTGCTGGATGGACCATCATCCATCTACTGCACCATACTGCTTACCTGCAGACAAAGTAAAATAGCTACTAAGGTCTTTTCGAAAAGTGCTTATTACCTTCTTTTTCCATTTGCTTCCTTCCAAGACATATCTTCTTTTTCTATATTTTATCGGATCTTTATCGCCACATCTCGGTGCTTTCATCTTCTCTACAGTTTCCTCATCAAACTTTCCTGTAACATTGAGGCCAGCAAATTTTTGAAAAGCTTTCAGACTGTGGGAAATGTCTTGGGCTGCCGCTGCTTGCCCACTCTTTGATTCTGATATATAACCAAATTGCTTTAAGTATTCCTGCAAGATAAAGAGGATTGATCAAGAACGTAATGAGTTTGTTGACCCAAATCTGCTTTAGACCGATGTTAGTTTATATGACGTTTTGTCATCGAGGTCTCAGATCAGGTTTAGGCCGATGTTAAACTCACTGTGCCCTGAAACCTTCTTTTGATCACGGCCACAGAATAAAGACATACAGAAGTGTAACTTCCATTACAAAACCGTAAGGCGCTTTTTTACCGAAATAGCTGGCGGCCATGTTCTTAGCAAGTGCCCTAAAGAGAGGCATTCACCCCCCTGGAATATTAGATTTTCAATATGTTTTCAGGGGGTGACTGCCTCTCTTTAGGGCACTTGCTAAGAACATGGCGGACTGAAAAAATCGCTTACGCACTTTTAATAAGAAGATACACTTCTGTATGTCTTTATTCTGTGTCACGGCTGTCGTGGCCAAGTCATTAGCGAGTTTGGCAAATACAACGGCAACGAGAACATGCTCATCAACAATAGCATCTTAAAATCTAAGACAAAGACGACTTTAATTTTCATCCTTTAAGCATTCCAGTACGCCGTATAGTTGTTCAAACTGCTACTTTACATCATTTTCGCGCCTAAAAGTTCACGCCAACTGAGTAAAACGTTCAAGTCGTTTGGAGTGTTTATGTGAATTCACTTACTATTGCTACAAGGAATTTCAGGGTTGTTTAAAAGAAAGACAAGTGCTTTTAAAAGTTTAATAATGTATCTTTTAGCTCAAATACAAAAGTATAAGTAATTTTGTTTTCTGCCGTCGCCATTGTTGGTTGCCAAACTCGCTATTTTCGATGATGTGAAGTAGTCTGGATCTATCTTGTCTTTTGTGGGCTCTGTGCAAATCAGATTATCTGAGTGCAGAGATAACATCGACCATTCTGATATGGTCGTAATTGCCACAACCGAATGAAAACCAGGCTTTATCCTTACATGTATATAAACTGTCTTCGGTTTGTTCCCACCCGAAACCTCGACGTTTCTTCCAATAACTCGCGAGATATCCTACTAAAATTTCGTTATCCGATTTGGAAAAATCTAATTCAGTAATAGGATTTTTCCCATTTAGCCTTTCCTGAAGTCGATGTTAATCAAGGCAGGGTGTTACCCGAGCAAGGAAATTAATTTATTTAAACTTGTTTGTCTATGCTTATTAAAGTCAAAGGTTGGAACTGCGGTCTTTGGAAATTTATTATGAGAGTCTTAAACCTTTGCTAACTTTAGTAGTAATATCTATCCGTAATTTTTCCTTGCAATTCTAATCCTGAGTCCTAACTTTAAAACTTGTGACGTAATTTGGATGTAACAGTACGGAATTAGAGTCAATTAATATTAGAGTAAAATTTTACATGCCCCCCAATTCCCTCTGGAAATGTGTAGTTACAAGGCTAACCAATAATTTAAAATGCCGTTTGCCAACTATTTTTCATCAATTGTTTATACAAAACCAATATCACAGTTGTCAAGCAAAGTGCTTAATTATTAACATAAGTGAGCGTTCTTCAAACGCACATGTTCAAAGATCTTATCTTAATTTTAACAACAAAGAAATTTTGTTGAGACACTCTACGTTTCGCTGCTCGCGTTCGCCGGAAGCTCAGAAGTTGCTCGGGAGTATCCGCTCGGAACTCGAAAGCTGTTCGGGAATATTCGTCCGGAATTCGGAGAGTTTCGCGCGAGTATCCACCCAATTTCAACCACAACGGAAGAATTGATTTTTTGGTTACTCCCAAGCTTGAAAATGTTTGAAATGTTTGCTGCGGTTATATATAGTGCCCAACATAGATTAGGTTCATGATTATACTGCAGCCAGTTAACTATATAGAAAGCATTCATGCTCAAGATATTAAAATATGTAGTAAAATATGACCAGCATGCAATCCAGTATAAGTTGCCATGGCTGTGTCTGAATTGCAGAATACTACCTACACTGCTCTGGACCCCCCACCTTTGAGATATTTTTAGAACTTCAGATATGCACAAGCCACAACAGCTTAATATTGCAGAATACTACCTACACTTAACCCTTACATATGAGATACTTATGCCAGGTTTAATATTGCAGAATACTACCCACACTGGACCCCCAGGTTAGAGATATCAATATTAGTGTAGGCATAGTTTCCAAGAACTTGACTGAAGGGTCTAACGACAAGAAAAGGTAACTATACATTCTTAATATTGGTCAATGCAATCATCATCTCAGATTTTTAGTAGGATTTTAAATATTGTTGGGGTTCCATGACTTTTGGGCCAAAAAGTTGTTTATCAGATTTTGTCAATTTCCCCGATAATAAAAAATAGCCATCCATTTTTATTTAGACAATAATTTTCTACATACAATTTTTATCAGTGAATAGACAATAATTTTCTATACAATTTTTATCAGTCCATAGACAATACTGTACAAGTTAGAAAATAAAACGCACATAAAACTACCATACATCTTTTATCGCTCAACAGACTAAAGCGCCACTAATCTACAATGGATCAAAACATGGCACAATACACAGCACATCTGGCGCTGAATCCAGTTTTAATTCAACACTATTATTTTTACCCCTCAAACCACGGCACGGGGCTGTCGTTAAGGTCAGAGATAAGTTCAAGTCACAGTCATCTCAAGTGTTTTATCACCTTATAAAGTAACACTGCAACCACACTGCAACAATACCTAGAAATACAGCACGAGGCGTAATGTGTTAAATGATGAATTAGATGGATTAATGTATATCATGTTACTGGACAAATAATTTTTTTGTTAATTTTACAAGAACAATTGAAGAATGAAGGCTCGGACAACTGGACAAATAAAGTCCTAAATAGGCAAAGTTAAGTCCTGCTTGACATGCTACATTGATACACTATATACACCATTAAGGCTGGTTTACATTATCAAACTTTCCGTGATCACAGTAGGAATTTTGCATAGGTATTAAAATTCTAAGTTTTGAAGGATTTGTAAGAAATGTTTGAGAGAGCTGACTCCGTGTTTAATGCTTGGCTTCCATGAACAGAGGGCATCAATATTCACTATTTCGGTCGCTCTTTAGAACATTTCTATCAATTAAACTTTATTGTGTTTCATTGACGTTTAGAACACATATAATGCATTGCTAATGCAAATTGAACATTCAGATACTAAGAGAAGTGGAGATTTCATTTGCCAAAATGATTACATCAACATCTTATATATAGTTATATACTAAACCATATTTGGCTATATGCACCAGCTTTCGTTACCACGCAAAAACTGAAAGTCTACCAGAGTTGCCAATTTAATTGCCAAGATCACTTTCAACGAAAACAATGTTTATATCACGTCAGAACGCTGCTGGGTGCTTGTTTGAACTGTCGCAAATATCAACCGAAAATTGTTTGAAGAAAACTATTTGTTGAAACACACAGTATTGTAGCTAGAATGAGTTGCTATTACTCCTATTAGGTAGAGAATACTTGAGGAGAAAATGATAGGTAACATAAAATTCTGCGTGCAATATATCGCATGTCTGTTCCGGAAACTATGGCTAAATTATCGACCTATTGTCTGGGGAAATAATTTCAAATAACACCCCAGTGTGAAGATAAATACTGTATATTAATATCAAGCAATATGTTGTTACGTTTTTAACGAGTAAATACAGTATGTTTTCCCTTCCCTAGTTCGTAGAAAGAGTGTAAATATAGTTCCTAATTACCTAAACTCGTTTCGCTTTAGAGTTTAGTGATCTTGTAACACGACAAAACGATGAAAGATTTAAACCATTCGTTCGTATTAAAAATTAACACTACTCAACTCAAAACTGGTTGAGACTTGAGACTATTTAATATTTCAGTGCAAACTCAAATCACGCTGCTAGCATCTTTCAAAATATTGAACTTTGGTAGACCATGCATTTTGCAACATTAATTTATGCCAAAAGGAACTTTAAGCCTGGTTTCCATTAAATCGTAATTATCGCAAGAACCGCATCGCAAGCGTCGCAACAATTTTAAAAACGCGAAAATTTTAATAAAAACTGCGATTTATTGGAAACTTGAATCACACCGATAACTAAGACTCTTACGACAAAGTCGCAAAGATAGATTTACTGCGATTTTTGCGATAGCGATGTCTGCGTTCCGCGACTATTGCGATGATTACGATTTAATGGAAACCAGGCTTTACTGTAATATCGAAATTAACACTAACTCAATATATTTGTGCTTTCCCAAACTTCCTCTACACCTAATATATGACATAATGACGGTTATTACAAAGAAAAAAGTCTTTTTGAGGCACGAGTGTTACTGTAAAAATGAATTAGCCACGGCCCACGGGAACAATGACAATGTTTTAACTTTTATTATCTTGAAGTTTGAATTTCTAATGATAAAATTTATCGCGTATTATAATATCTTTAGTCTTTGAAAGAGTACATGGATAAGATGTCTAGATTTTAACCTTTCGTCTGATGTTTCCGATTTACTGCAATTTCCTGTGCCTCTGCCATAAAATACTAAAATTTTGTTGGAAATTCGCGACAAATGACAACTTATTTTGTACATGCAGACTGATCGCCTGAATGTAATTTTAATACTACAGTTTTAATACTGTAATATACGATTATTAATCTTACTTCCTCTGTGAAAATATTACACAATTACAAAATCGCGCTTTTTTATGTTTATAGCAATGTTGTATAAATACAACAGGACACAACATATTGTTGTAAAATTGTGGTTCTGTATTTATGCGAAAATAGACAGCCTGTCTGTCGAGTGTCAATTCATGACCCTTCATACTTCTCCTTCGGCATAAATTTGGTTATATATGTTTCATTGGCAAGCTCTATAGCATTCATTATTCGATACAAAATGGAACATTTGCAAATACTCTTTGAATTTATTGAAAAGCTTGGGAAACTGTACAAAGTTTATTGTTCATGGACTCGTTAAATAGTCATAAAATATGTTCTTGACGTGTTGTTAAATAATAATTATGTGTAGTTGGAATGTAGCTCTATCGTGTCTTACTGAAGACTAAAATTGCTCTAAACTATTTCATAATTGTGTAAAATCGTATGTAACACATGGAAACACCAGAAATGTATTAGAAATCGCTCTATATAAGGCGAAATACTAAATGATAACTAGAATATTACATGTGCTATGCCATGCTGATAAGCATCGTGTTGAATCATGTAGAAAATTTCATACATACCACTCCAGAGTTTTTATTTGCTTCCCCTACTGCTTTACATTCTACGATATTATCCCAACTAGACAGTGCTGTAGTCAACCAATACACCAGCACTAACTTCACTCGTGCAGACAGCATTGTGATACAAAGTCGCCAATATATATTGACACAAAGTATATCCCAGTTTCAAAATGCCAGCCTTTGTGTTTCGCTGTGTTGAAATGCGCTATAAGCTCGCTGGTTATCTATGTTATATCTTAAGATCTTCCTCAATTTAGCACTGCGTAGTTTAAACTTGATAGGTGTTTCTCGAAGTAACTAGAGCCGCTCTCGTGCTGTTTATAACAAGAGTCCGTCTTGCATTGCCGATATAATAGCACGACTTGTCTGTTTTTAAGTTGCCTCATGAACGTGTGACGTCACAAGCCTATGGCGGACGTAGTGGGCGGACGTAGTGGGCGGACGTAGTTCGTCTCAGATTTAATCCCATTCACTGATTCACTGATTCAACCATTCAACTCAACTGAAATGGAAGTTTTTATCGATTTGACTTTTCTTTTACCGTCTATTGTAGTCTCCACATAAATAAATGTTCAATAGCCGAGTTTTATTTAGTTCAATGTTCTATTTCGTGCTACACTGGTGGTCGATTTCAAACGTATTGACCTGGTATTGACACTTATGTGAATGAGTAAATGATGCTACCTTACATGTATCGCCAGCAAACACAATGTCGATACATATAGTGAACAGTTTAGCCTTTCCTTTAAGAGTTAACCTCTACATGTCCCACCTATTGAAACCCACCCGGGGAACTTTTAGTTTTATGCAACAATATATATGTAAACGCCCACTGTCACTGATCAAATATTTCATTGTCTACAGGCACATGAAACGTACAATTAGTCAATTACACTGGGTTTTTATTCATGTTTTTATCATGTAACTAATGTACATTTCCTTGTGAAATACAAGACATCGCTGTAATCTTTATAAGCGCTCAAAAATTTTCTCTTATAAAGAATTTATAATCCAGTTCAGTATATTAACTTGGTGTAAACGCACGTAGAGGTCCGATATCTATAAGAGCACCGCATGGGCCCACTTTACCAAACCTGATAAATTTTTTTTTCTTTATTAATGGGCAATGAGTGTAATTACAAAATCCGTTTGTCTGGACAAAAATCGGTTTATTACAGAACATTAATTTGAAATAGCCGATTTAGAGAGAGAGAAGACAGGATGAAAAACAGGAAACGTGTTTTGGCGGATTTCAATTCTTAAGGGTTGTCAAGTATACGTCGTATCCATCCCGTCTGCAATGCGGCACCGCGTTTTTGGTTCCTGCTATGACAAGTTTTCATATGGCACGTTTTCTTAGTCAATTGCACGTCGTATGTATGTACAACAAATTTTCTATGACAATTTTTTTGTTTTCTGACCGCCACGATTTGCTCATTGCTGCATGACCAACCACATGCAAGTGCTCAAATTAATACTTTCCCAAATTTTCTTTGTTGACCCATACAGACAAACAACTTTTGTACTTTGCCAATTTTATACTTTTATAACTATACAATTATCAGAGTGAGAAAGTGGTGCAGGTTGACCACCATCAAATGGCACCAAGTTTGTAACTATACAATTTTATACTTTTGTACTTTGTAATTTGCCAATTTTTTCAATCAACAAGTGCACTTGTTGAGCATACTATCTAGCAAACTAGCCTTTGAACGAGGCGGTACTTGTCATAGTAAAAATTGGCAACGTTGCCTTTACAGACGAACAAAAAATCATCCTTGATCTGAAAAACTTGTCATAGAAAACTTGTCTGCATGTAAGCGGCTTAAAAGGTTCCTGCTCAATGGTTCCTGCTAAACTCTCCTCATTACTTTTACTTTTGACACCAAATTCAAACACACAAGTCAAGTTCACAAGTGAATAGTTTTGTTGTATAAAAGTCCTGTCTTTAATGCATTATTATAGTCTATATAATATATATTGATAAAATCGAACAAGATTGGCCAATTGAATACATGAATTAACTTCTATGTCTATGACTATGGTATAACAGCCAATTGAGTTACTCGAAAAGTAATCTTGAAGGGTCTATGTCTGTGTAGGTAGTGCTAATAATAAAAAAGCTGTGGATTTATTTTTCAGATATATATAGTTGTATCTCTTTCAATCCACAGTTTTTGTACTCGAAAAGTACTTTATAAAAAATTATAATTTTTATATAGGATCACGTTTTTAGGGTTCCTTTGTATCTTTAATAGCCTATAATATTTGACGGACTCTAAGCCAGAGTGCATTCCCAGGCAAGATTCTCTCGCCAAGAGTCCTTTTTAAGGCTTGAAATTTCCAAAGGGTACTCGTGTTGAATATAACAAACCAAGCCAAAGAGAAAGTGTCATTTTCTAAACAAAGTGTGCTTTTTACTGGTTGAAGAATTATTTAAAAATGTAGATATATTAACTGATAAAGTTACTTTAGCTTCTTGTAAGTTGTAAAGATTGATAAGGTTTTAATGCAGCTTATTTTTAGATATAACTTACGGCGTTAAAAATATCCCACGCTGTTTTGATAAAATCTTTAAAGTCGATATAGTTTGCTGTACACCTCAGACATTAATTTTAATGTGTTGTTTTCATAAGAAATTTAAACTTAAGTGCAGCTTTTATCACCTAAGAACCAGATTATTTCCAGAACGGAAAGAATCGCTAAACTTCGTCAAATGACAGTAAATTATTGGCTGATTTATTGGGCAGACAATATTCACTAAAGATCACTGGTAAGACCACATACAGAGAATCTAAACAACAAGCCAATTGAATTACTCGAAAAGTACTTAATAAAAGATTAATTGTTATAGGATCAAGTTTTTATAGGCCGGGTTCCACATGCACAACACTGTTATACAGAACTTTATAGAATGCTTCATATCATTGCGCAGAATGTTAAAATGTATTATTAAAATATATTACGACTAAATCATTCATCGTACATATGTACTATCAAAAATGACCATAGATTTTCCAAGGTTTTTATCGAACAAACCGTGCGCACAGTACCCTGGGTACGAGGTTGCGCACAGTTTTGGACATAGTCAACTTGCTTTTCATATTTTGCGTATTTAGTGTCCGCGTTTGCGCAATTGTGTCCGATTTGCGCATATCTGTTCGACTTTTGCGCAACCTTTTCAGACTGGTACGCCACTCTATTCTATATTACTTTCTTGTTATCTATTTGCATTGGTTTTTAGAGAGATATTAAATTTGCGGATCTTAATGCTGAGATAAGATCAATATTAGACTGGAGGATGAGCTCGGTTAATGTGTTGTTGTTTTTCTTCTTTTCATAATTCCATTACTAATGGCTTATATCCTCTGATCTGCGGGTTGACTACCCACTCAAATATTAAACACATGTGTAGCGTCACTGAGAGACAACAATGGAACGTACCGCTCATATAAATGAGATAAATAAACAAGCTTTCGTTGGTAGATGCAACTACCTGAAAAACATAAGGAGAATTATTTTTCAGGTAGTTGCATAGGGCCTTTGCTCGAAACGTCGAAATTCTTCTCATATTTTTCAGGTACGGTAGTTGAATCCCTACCAACGAAAGCTTGTTTATAAATTCTCTAAGACTACAAATACAACAACAACAACAACAACAACAACAACAGCCGAGTTAATATTACAGAATTAATACTGTTCAAGAAAGCCGCTTAGCATCTAGTCAAGCTCACTACTGATCTTAGTTCTGAAGTTAACTGCCGAATGTTGATCAGATAAATTCATAATGAGGATTTAGAAAGATAAGCTAAGGAAACCAACGAATTAATATTATCGTGGGAAAACATATCATGGTTAATATGAGACGTGATGTAAAACTACTCTCTTATTCTTAATTATGCCTCTTCCAATCCACTTCGACCGTTTCGAAAAGTGCGTACGATAGTGCTCCCAAAACAAAGAAATGCTCTACTTTTAGAATGAGAAACATCAAAAGTTAGCATAAGCCAAAATGCCAAAACACGTGCAAAACACTTATTATAGCTATTTATGTATTTAATTTCAAGAGCTGCTGTTGAAACTGAAATTAACAACATTTATCTTGGAGTGTAGCTCATTAACAACAACTTGAATTGATACACTAGTGACTTAATAGTGAGTGTCGGTCTTTATTCTTGTGGCACAAACCTTATACTATAGTTCCTGCAAACTTTGCTTTTCCGTTCAGCCTTTCTTTTTTTAGCTGAGACGAACCGAGCCGGCATGTACGTAGAGTACTTTAATGTACTTGTATATTTGTCTGTTTCAAGTACCTGTTACATATGTCATGATTAAAATTAACTATGACCTGTTCACACTTCACCGTTATACGCTTTATTGCACGTGCAGGACAGGTTACTGCTGCAACGTTTTCAGGATATCGATACTTTGAAGCCACACGTACACGAGTGACAAGGATCTGTATTATTGACTGATTCCCAACTCATAATAAAGGCCAAGTTACACGCACGATACCAGTAATCACAAAATCATACCAGTAATCAGTCTGGCCACAAAATTTTACTCTTTGACAGATATCACGTCTTATATTGTCATATAACCGAAATTTCAAGTGTTAAGATATTCCTGAAACTGATAAATTCGATGTTGTGACAAGCGAATCCGGTAGGATCGTATAACTGGGCGGCCGGTCTAATAGTCTAGCGGTGTATTTACAATCTTTAACAGAAGAACTACAATGGTATAGTACAAATTATTGCACACAAAATTACATTTCCACCACAAATAATATATATATAGCATCAAAGTACATTGGATTTTTAATTAACCCTTGAAACGATTTGAAATTATTGTTATACATAATGAGTTTGCTTCTTCCAACATTCTAACGGATAGTAAAAAACTTAAACCGTGTGAAATTTTCTCTGAATTCAGTTCAGAACCATAAAATTATCTCCGTCATTATTTCGTTAATATTGTAAAATATATTTCTTTCTCTATAGGTAGACGCCTGGTCGCATGGTCACGTCTAGGCAGCTGAACAGACCATTAATTAAGAGAGGTTAGTAATATTTCTTTATCCATCCAATAAAATCATGATATCTAGATACCCATGCACTATATTGCACGTAACATGACGTACTTGCCAGCACTCCTTGTCCAACACGGCGATAATGAGTGACGTGGATACTAGTCTCTAGTCCTCTGTTCACATCGGTCTTAGTTGTCTTAGTTCCCCGTTACGTCACCAGGCTTTTAGTCAGAAGGGCGTCCAGACGCCCCTAGAACGAAAAATGGACGCCTTTGGACGCCAAAATTCTGGGGGGAAAAGGAAATGATTTTCAATTATTTCCCTAACTTTGAAGTCTGTTAATAATAATCGA